GTCCGGGCTGGGGATTCGAACCCGCCACCTTAGGTGTATGTGGCTGGCGCCTTAGCCGGTTGAGCTATAGGTGCCAAGCCAATATTTGTTGACTTTTAAAAAATCTTTCCCCATAAGAGTAGGAGCTTCAGAAGAGTGGTCAACAGAGTGTATGTCTGGTTTATTGCTGCCTTCTGAACATTTGTAATTGTGCATGGTATATAATAGCTGCTCAGTAAGTATTTGTTGCATAATGAATGCATAGATGAATAAATGAAAGGTAACTAGTGGCTATAAAAATTACAGAACATGTTTTATATATCACTGAGTAGTAATAGTAAATATAAAGTATGTATATATTTTAAGGCATTAAATTGTTTTATTTTTCAGGATTAATTTGTAATTCTTCAAAATGTCAGGTGAGTCTTTGTAAATAAATTGGCATATGCTTCATTTTAAAATGTGAATGATATGATTGTTTTCCTTAAAAGGGCTCTTTGTTTCATTTTGGAGTTTTTAATTATTTATTATTTATTTATGCATATGATCATTACTATCTCTCTTTATCTGAAAAGAATTTTAAAAAGACTTATAATAGAACATATGTGCTAACTGTCCTTTAATATATGTGGGGCAAATGAGGGCAGAGAAAAGTAAGAGTAGGAAAGCACGTCTGCAAAGGGAGGTGGTAGTAATTAGCAAAGAGCCTGCGATGACATCCTGCCTTGGAAGAGAGGGCTGAAGGCAGAGCTTGCATTTTCTAATAACTGATAAAAAGAGAAAAATATCACCACATTTAAGGTATTTGTTTTTCTGTGAGACAAATTCAACTAGTTGTTTAGGAAATTGAGAATTTTCCCATAGTGAGTCTAGGGAGAAATTTCTCTAATCTCAACAAGAAGATCATGTGTAACATCTTAAAAATGACTCCAGTCCCAGAATTCAGTAAAAATATGAGTCACTGGAGATGTGCTCCAAAGTATCGCTAACTGAACTGTGTGTAGCACCTCTGCTTTCTACACTATTAAGTATGTATGAGTGTATCTTTTGATTTATTTAGACATCACTTTCCAAAAAGGATTAGAAGAAAAATAAAATTAAAACTTCTATATATGTCTATCTATTTTCTCACATTGTATAGTAGGAAAAATTATTTTTGATGTTGTGCAAGGAATTTACTACTTACTATGTAGGTCAGCATCAGTTCAGCTGGACCATTAGTAAGAAAATGCTTTGCTTTGATCACAAGCTCAATATAATTGTTTAGCTTAATTTTTAATCTATGTGCAGTAATGAAATTTATTAATGGTTTGGTGTATACTATATGTCTAATTATGTTTTTATAAGAAATATGAATGTCTTGGGGCAGCACCTGTGGCTCAAAGGAGTAAGGCACTGGCCCCATATGCTGGAGGTGGTGAGTTCAAACCCAGCCCCAGCCAAAAACTGCAAAAAACAAAAAAAGAAAGAAAAAAGAAATGTGAATATCTTCATATTATTATATTCCTTGATGCATACCAACAAGAATGAATGTATTTTGTTATCATATGATCATTTCCTTTGTGACTCATGTCTACTCTCTTTATTCCAAGATGTAACCCCCACAGGTCTTGAGCAGCCTTCAGGTGAAATGAAAAATGAAGGAACATTGTCAGATCCAAGGCCAGATGACCCTCCCCAATATAATTCTCATTTCGTACCAGGTGGGTTAACTATTGATGAAACATATTTTTCCCTCCACCAAACTAACAAAGAATTAAAGTGCTTTTTAAATTAAGTAATTAATTGAGTCAATAAATAAATTTTGAATGCCGATAGGATGCACGGTTGTACTATATGTTTTAGAACAGATTCATGTTTTCATAGGATTTACAAATTAGTGGAATGGAGTTGTACAAACACTGATGAAATTCTCTATATTCCATTATGGAAAATATGAATAGACTATTATAAGGGAACAGAAAACAGTAGCAAGGTTTGTTATGGAATTGAGAAAAGCCTTGTTTGAGAAAGTCAAGTTTTGTTGTCATGATAAGAATTTCACAGTTGAAGACAAAGGAGAAGAGACTGTGCATAGAAAGAAGAATTATACGTCCAAATGCAAGTGGTCACAGGTTGTGTGAAGCCTTCATATGACAAAGGGCAGGAGGAGTGCAGAGAAATGGAAGCGAACGGCCTAGAATGCTGACTAAGAGCTTGTTGTTCTAGCACATATTTTTATGACTGCACGACTTGCTGACAACACAGGAGAACAAGTGCATACACATTGCCAGTATAAATTTGTTGGTTTTTAATAGTCATTTTGGAAAGTAAGTTGAAGAAAAACTAAAAACATTCCTGCTTAAAACTGGAACCAGACAAGTATGTCCGCTATCGCCACTATTGTTCACCACAGTGCTGGAAGTTCTAGCCAATGCAGCCAAGCAAGAGAATGATATCAAAGGTATCTAAATGATACCTTTAGCTCTTCCTTTGACAGACCCAACACCAGCATCTGCAGCTTTGGAACCTTGCGATGTGGTGGGCTGTTCTTACTAGGGTTAGGTGATATCTCAAAGTGGTTTTGATTTGCATTTCTCTGATGATTAGGGCTGATGAAATCTCTGATTTCATATGTTTGTTGGCCATTTGTCTATCCCAGTGGTTCTCAACCTGTGGGCCATGACCCTTTTGGGGGTCAAACTTTTCCATTTATTTAAGACTTCATTAATTTCTTTCAGCAATGTTTGTTAATATGCAAGTCTCATACTTCCTTTTAAACCAAGTAATAATTGAGTATTTTATAATTTTTGTTGTCACTGTATGTAGAATTGTACTTTTGCTTCCTTTTTCAGATCATTCATTCTTATTGCATAGTAATACAATTGGATCTTGATATATTGATCTTGTACCCTACCACACCACTAAACTCAGCTTATCGATTAATGTTGTGTGTGTATATGTGCATACGTGTAGGTGTGTATAATATGTGATAGGGTTATATATATATTTGTGTGTGTGTGTGTGTGTGTGTGTAATATATGATGATGTCTAGTGGTTATCCAGGGGAAGAAATCTATAGGCCATTGGAAATGCAAGTTCGGAGCACAGCAGACTAATATGGGATAGGGATATGGGGTTCATAAATGACTAAAGTCAATAAAAACATTGATGTTACTAAAATTGTTAGGAGGTAATTTCTTGCAGGGAGAGTCAGACAGCTTGGCTGCAGGTGTAAGCTGGCTCCTGGGATTATATGAAAGCAAGAAATGACCACAGACTTTTGGGTGGCATATAGCAAATCATCTTTATTCTCGACCACCTTTTATAGGGAGCTGGTCACATACACCACATTAATCAACAATCTTAACATTCTCTATTCTTATGTTAGACTATAGAAAAGACAGAAAGTTCAAAAGTAAGATAACCATCTTAAGACTAGCTAGCTTCCAGCTATTCCTCTAAAGACCTAAAGCTACCCTGCATCATCTGACTTCCATTGTCAAAGTTAAAGGTCAGGACAAACAGGGAAGTAAAACTTTTTTCTTCCATGTACTCAAGTAAGTTTCCTAGAAACAGGCTCAGTGACTCTGTTTTCTTGTGGTTTGGAGGCCACCGGCTTCTACAATGGAGCTTTTCTTCACTCACATCAACCTTTGAGCCATGCCTCCTGCACAGATGGGCCATATAAACCCTTATCTGGCAGGCTGACTGACTGCATAGTCAGAGTTCCCTGCAAGAGGTTGTTACCACCTTGCCTACAGGCTTTGCCATGCTCTCCCAGGCAGCCTAGGCCTCTACAAAATGCACAATACTTACAAGTCTTTGCTCAGTTTCTGGAATTAAAAGAGCACATTTCATTTAGCTAGTTTTATGTGGGCATTCTTCCCACATAAGATCACTTAGAATAGCATGTAAAAGGAAGAGGGAATGGGAGAGGTGAGAGAGGGAGAGAGAACAGGGGGGGACAAGGGAGTCGACCTAGGAACTCTGAGAATAGCAGTTTTACAGGGTAGTGAACACAGAGTTCTTGATAGAGAGTAAGTAGTTACTAAAGAAAAAATAATGGTAACTAGAAACCATGTTAAATTACAGCTATGTGAGAGAAAAGTAATGATGTCTTTGCAAAGAAATGAGGAAAAGTATGTGGTTAAGTTTTGTCATGAAGAATATACTTTAATTCTTTTAAAACTTGTGTTTTAGAGTCCAAAATTGGACTAGATACCAGATATTCTCCCTGTCTTTTAACCCATTTTTAAAACCAACAGCGCAATTTAAAGTCATATATATTATCTAAGAATACTAGTCATTATATCACATTATATCATAATAAGTTTATGATTATCATGTAATTTTAATATAAAATTTGAGAATCAATAAGCAAGAAAAAAATTACAATTTAAATCTTGGGGCTATTCAGTCTAGATTAGTATTTCTATGAAATATAATTGAATGACATTTGATATAGGCATGTATAATAGAGAAGGAGAAAAATATGATCAAATTATGAGTGGAAACTAGTATATTACACTCCCTTCTCAGCTTTGCAATTGCCATTAAGGATCATGATGGATTCTGCAGAAAAACAAAACTAAACAAACATCATACGCTTACCTTGTGCAATTATATTATTACAGTAAGGAACCCTTTCATGGAGCATTGTCTTACCAATACTGATGTAGGAAACACTGCCTCATAAAGTCTGAGTTTCAAATATTATCAGTTTTTTATTTCAAAAAATTAATTGTTTTTATTTCAAAAATATCATTCCATTTTCTCTTTATATAGACTATATATAATGAGAGTTACTTATTAACACTTTTTTGTGTGTGTGAGACAGAGTCTCACTTTCTTGCCTTTGATAAAGTGCTGAAGCATCACAGCTCACAGCAACCTCAAAGTCTTGGGCTTGGCAATTCTCTTGCCTCAGCCTTGCAAGTAGCTGGGACTACATCTATCTGTCACAATACTTGGCTATTTCATTTAAGCAAAAATAGTGAACAAAATCATTTTTGGTAGGAACACATATCCAGTCTCTTAATAGACATAAATATCATGTAGTTGAATTTAAATGAATTCATTAAATCAAATATTTCAACCACATGTTTCTTACTGTGTATTACAAGGACACAATTTGTATTGGTCATCATAAGTATGTAGAGTCCAGCCACAGAAGACAATTATAGTAAATTTTTACTATATTTTATAACTGAGAAATCATTAGTTGTACACTCTGTATGATCATGTTTTCAATTTATCTTGGCATTTAACTTGAAGGATGTCTTCTACTTCTGGCTAATTTTCTCTGTATATGTAGAGAAGAATAGACATATATTTCCCACAAGAGCAGAACATGATTTATACCCAGTACTTGCTTTTTAGAAGTGGTAGTTTCTGATCTAGTATAATCCAGGTTCTAGGACACAGGGTGATTGGTGAATAGAAGATAGATCATGTACATCATGTTGAGAATCACTGAAGTACAATATAGGAAAATTGTCAGATAAAGCGTGATTATAGAGTATAGCTATAAACATTCAAGTACAAATGTCCTTACGACAAAATGATTTTTTGTTCTTCTGGGTAGATACCAAGTAATGGGATTGCAGGATCAAAAGGAAGGTCTACTTTTATTTCTGAGGATTCTCCATACTTCTTTCCAAATGTGTGGTATTAGTTTGCCATCCCACCAACAGTGCATATATGTTCCCTTCTGGCTGGTGGATCACCTGAGCTCAGGAATTCGAGTCCAGTCTGAGCAAGAGTGAGACCCCATCTCTAAAACTAGCGGGATGTTATGACATGCGCCCATAGTCCCAGCTACTCGGGAGGCTGAGGCAAGAGGACCACTTCAACCCAAGAGTTTGAGGTTGCTGTGAGCTATAGATGTCACAGTGCTCTACCCAGGGTGACAAAGTGAAACTGTCTCAAAATAAATAAATAAATAAATAAATAAGTAAAGATATTTTGCTTCTTATATTTTTGACATTGAGGTTCTTATTCCATAGATTAGAATAGGGTTCAGGAATTTGTGGTTTTATTACAAACTACAGATTATTTTTAAGCATTTTCTATGTTGAATCACAATTTCAGAAAATGTATTTTCAAATGATTTTCCCCTAAATTTGAAAGTAGCAAATTTAAATACCCACCTTTGAAATCTACAAAATCTAGTTCCATTTTCTCAAACTCCTTTCATGACTAGGCACCAAAGCTTCAGCAGATTTTGTAGATCAGGTCTTAGCTAGGATACAATATATGCTAACATAAAGTTGTATTTAATTTTAACTGAAGTATTATAGATGTATAGTAGGACAACTCTATCTGTGGGCTCCACATTCATGGATTTAATCAATCAAGCGTAGAAAATGTTCAAGAAAAAATAAAAACAATGAAACTAGTTACATAGAGTTTTCATTGTTTAGGTATTATGATTAACCTAGATGTTTTTTAAGTGTATGAGAAGCTATCTCTAGCTTATATGCAAACACTACACCTTTTTCTGTAAGGAGGTCCTGGGACCAATCCCCCAGGAATGCTGAAAAATGATGGTGTATTGATGAGATGAAATAGCTTGACTTATGTGATGTATTTTTGTCTTTAACTGAAAGACTCTTCACAAGATGGTCTTTTTGAAAATATCTGTGAGAGGAGGCAAGTTTAAACCTGACCCTGGCCTTCCTGGCAATTCAGAGAAAAGTACCAGTGGGCCGTTTGTGACTCTACTACTCACAGGATTTCACTTAGGGCTACAAAACCTTAGGAATCATTTAGAGGCTTTAGCAAATCTCTCAGTAGACAAAGAGGGCCCATTTACTTGCATATTTTATTTAATGAATTCTAAAACCATAGAAAGCAAAATAAAATTGAAAAAATGGTTAAAGTTTAAAATTATTTAAAAACTCTTGGTAACTAGAGGTGTGTCTGAGCAGCATAGGCATTCTCATATCTACTGCTACAATGCCTTGAATTTTAAATAAATAGAATTGTCAATTCAGAGTTACTACTGCTTATCTTGAGACTTTCATAAAAAAGACATCCTAAAGTCAATCATTAGTTGTTTGTTGTGTGCGAATTCATTATTATGGTGGTTTACTACTTATGAGCTCTCTGGAAGTATTTGTTTTTTGTTTTGCTTTGTTTTGTTTTTGTTTTTGTTTTTTCTGAGACAGTCTCACTTTGTCTCCCCCAGTAGTGCCATGACGTCATCACAGCTCACAGCAACCTCAAACTCTCAGAGATCGCTCACCTCGGCCTCTGAGAGCGCTAGAATTACAGGCAGGAGCCACTGCACCTGGCCTAGATCTCTAAAAGTAAAGTGGGGAGAAATATTGGAGGGTTAAGTGCCATAGACTGAAGGTTTATTTCCCCCCCAAATTCACATATTGAAGCCCTAACATGGTGGTCTTTGGTAGTGAGACCCCTCAAAGGGAATCAGAATGAGAGAGTGGAGCCTCATCTTGAAATTGGTCGCCTTATAGGAGGAGACACGAGAGAGATAACTTGTCTGTCCACTGAGTGAGGACACAGCAAGACCTGTCTGTCTACTGAGTGAGGACACAGCAAGAAGATGGCAATCGTCAAACATCGATGGATGTTGTGTGATCCATTTCATCTTAATGTAAAAATAATATGTTAAAAATATAATATATAATAAATTCAAAGTTATAAAGTTGTAAATTATAAGTTAAAAATGTATACTAACATAATTTAACATTATAATATAATTTTTAAAATGGATAACACTTCCATTTGTTTTGAACACAGGACCACCAGAACCAGCTGTCCCTCCACCTGCAGGCGAACCAGGAGGCCTGCCTATGGGATACTACAGTCCACAGCAGCCCAGTACCTTCCCTTTGGGCCAGCCAACTGATCCTATCCAGTATCCACCTGGTGAATACCCTGTGCTGAATCAGCCTGTTGCAGGTGTGTGGATGCCAGGGCCACCTCCTGTGCCAAACTGCCCTCCTGGTCTGGAATACTTAACTCAGGTACCGCATGCACATGCAAATTATTTTCTTATGAAGTATGACCACAAGGACCTGAAAGAAGAGAAAAGAAGTCAGAGAAAGTTAATACAGAGACGAATCAGTGATGAGACGTGCCTAGTTTGTGACATATAAGAATGGCAATAATAATTTCAGGAATGTGAAGAACAGGATGGTGATGTCAGCGGGATAAGTGATTTTTGTAAGGATTTGTGTTGAGATTTAAGGCATTCAAGATGTTTTCATGAGGGAAATTAGAAAAATAGAAATAAGAAAAAGCATCATAGACAATAGTTGTGTCATTTACTTAACAGTAAAGACTCAACATGAAGAAAAACAACATGAAAATAACAAAACACAAGACAGCAGGTAAACTACTGACTACTCTGGTGCTTTTCATCCCCACCTATAATTTTCCTATATCACTCCTGCCACCCTCAAAAACATGCAATATAAGTAAAAATAAGGAAGCCAGCAAAGATAGGACCTCAGGACACGTTCCAGAGACTCCCTTCTCCTAACAGAGTGACTCCCTATTTTCCATGAATATAAATATTCTGGAGCTGCAGGGATAACCAGATCAGAACCAGGGTAATATGAAAAGTTGATGTGCAAATGCTAATGTTCAGAAACCCATGTCAGAAACTCAAAAAACCTTGTTAACAACAATAAAATAAAGTGAGTACAGTAGTGCTCCCTCATCGGCAGTTTCTGTGACCTGTGGTCAACCTCACTCTGAAAGTACTACTTGGAAAATTCCAGAAATAAACAATTCATAAGTTGTAAAGCTCAATGATTGTTAGCCTTTTTTAACAATAAAGTATTTTAATTAAGGTATATATAATTTTTAGACATAATGTTATCCCACATTTAACTCACTGTAGTATAGGTTGAACATAATTTTTATATTCAATGGAAAGCCAAAAATATTTGTGACTAGTGTTATTGCAATATTTACTCTAGAGCACTAGTCTGGAACTGAATCTGCAATACCTCATGTTGTGCCTGCAGTGAATATGTTTACTTTTCCATTCTATATTTTAATATCCTAGACTTGTGAAAGGAACTTGAACCATTTTGTTAGCAATCTGATATTTTATAAGACATGTTTTGACCCCCCGTACTGGAATGTGTTTCCAAACAGAAAAAACTTTTAATTAAGCATGATTGTGTCTTTTCTGTCACACTGCGAAACATTTATGTTTAGTTATTTTTTAATTTTATTTATCACCACATTTGTATATTTTTTCATGAATTAATGCATTCAACCAATATTTGGTGAAATGTGTTATTTCATGCATTGTTCTGGGCCTAGGGATTAGGAATGGTCTAGTGGTCTAAATAATCTAAAATTATGTGAATATGATCAGTGTTTCCTCAGGGAAGTTTTTTTTCTCTTCTTCTAGAATGTTCTCACATATATAACAGATGATGGGTTCATCAGACTGTTCATCTTTAGGGTGTTTCCTAAGTGGAAATACTATGTAGATGTTTCCCTAATGGTATTGCCACGATATCTTTTCATGTGTTGCCACTAAGAATATTTCCTTTCCCTTCCCCTCATCTATCTATTCATACTCTCCTGACCTCGTGGGTCCTCCTTTTTTTAACGTGTGCATTTGGGGAAGACTGTGGCATTAGTAGCACAGGTCAGTGTGTTCACTTGTTCCAGATATACTTGTGAAATAATATATAATTGGACACAGCATGTGAGATTCATCCTGGAGATTCCTTCTCTATGGTTGGTCCATGCTAGGTCCTCTCTAAGGACTGTATGTCAGAGAGATGGGTGTGTTGGGACTGATTTAGGAACAATCTGTGTTCCTAAGAACACCTCCCTAAGGACTGTATGGGTGAGTAGGGACTGATGGGGGAACAATCTGTGTAGGCACAGCTTCTTCTTTAGAGGTTCTCAACCTGTGGGTCACAATCCCCTTGTAACAATGAAAATACATCGTGGCATTATGCTAGTACTACGCAAGTACATGTTTTTCTGGTCAATCAGACAATCGTTTGTTAAAGTGGAACTGGAGGAAAGTGTCTTACGTGGACAGCTCTGCTAATATCAAAATAATCAGATGCAAATAAGCTAAGTTCAGTTTGTAAAGTTCTTTAGATTATACTAAGATTCAAAAAAGGTATTTTGGCATCCGTTCCATATTTCCATTCTATATTTTAATATCCTAGAGTTGTAAAAGGAACTTGGACCATTTTATATTTATCTCAGCAGCTTCTTTTCTACAGCCAGTTTGATTTAATTTTGTTGTTTCTCCCCTCTAATTACTGTGTTCTATCCCAACAGCTGGACAACATACATGTTTTCCAGTACTATGACCCTCTGGAAAGTACGTATAATTTTTGAAATGTTCAACAGTGTTTTCAACAGGTGGAAATTGACATTATCCAATACCTAATTCCTTCTTTATATTGATCATTTTCAGTAGTTCAAAGAGAAAAATCTATGCACCATACATTTGTTCTGTAGAGAATAATGAAACAAATTATCTTGTATTATTTTATTTATCTATCTATCATATAATCCAAAGCTTTGGACTTTGAGCATACGTTTTATTTGGTGCACCTCCACCCTTTGCCCTTTATTTCTGCTCCATATTCATCTTTCCTAGATGAGTAAAAGAAGGAGCTGAGGTACTAACTGAGTTAGCTGGGGGAACACGGTCAGCTAATCAGTGCCAGAGCTGCAAATAGAATCTGAACTGCTGAATTCTAATTTGGTGCCCCTTTCTTTGGAAGTGAGAAGAAGCTATCACAGTCAAAATCATGCCTGCTTTCAGGTCAGCTTTACAGGACTGCACCTCCTTGTACTACCTGTACACATTCCCTTTCCCATGACGTAGAACCTTGGACTTATCTTGGTTTGTTTTCTTATTTGAAAATAATAATGACCGTAGACATTCAACCATATTTTGTGAGCAGATGAATTAGTACTCCAATGTATAATGTCATATACATGACTTCATAATTAAAACTTTCTAAATTCATATAC